TGTTTTTCTTATACATTTTATTGTTGGATGTAACTGGGACCCTGTGTACATAATTTCGCTCCACCACATGTACCACATGAGGTGCGAATGACAATAAAGAAACTCTTGACTCTGACTCATCAGAGACTCTACTTCCTCAGACGGCTGAGGCGAGCTGTTCTGGGAAGCTCAGTCCTCACCTCCTTCTACAGGTGTGCAGTGGAGAGCATCCTGTGCTCCAGCATCAACGTGTGGCATGGAGGCTGCACAGCTGCAGAAAGAAAAGCTTTGCAGAGAGTGGTGAAGGCTGCACAGAAGTCTGTCTGAGTCAGCCTCCCCACCATCACAGACATCTACACCTCTAGATGCAGGAAGAGGGTTACCTGCATCATGGAGGACCTCACTCACCCAGCACACACACTTTTTGCCCCACTCCCCTCAGGAAGGAGGTTGAGGAGCATTAAGTGTAGAACCACTAGACTGAGGAACAGCTTCTACCCTGAGGCTGTTACTCATGAATCTATAACTAGAATAATCGCTGTGAAAAATCACATCATGTTGCTGCTGATCTGTTTCAATGTTGATGTGTTCATGCGTGCTCATCTGCTCACACAGACTCATGTTCATGTTTGTGCTGATGTTCAATGTTTTTATGTTATGAGTGCTTAGTGTATATTTAGTTGATGTTTTTCTTAGTTCATATCTTAGATGTTATTACTGTTTTTCTTTTACATTTTATTGTTGGATGTAACTGGGACCCTGTGTACATTATTTCGCTCCACCACATGTACCACATGAGGTGCGAATGACAATAAAGAAACACTGACCCTCTGACTCTGACTCTGAAAGAACGAGATCTAGGATACAAGTGGCCGAAATGAGTTTTCTTCGTAGGGTGTCTGGGCTCTTCCTTAGAGATAGGATGAGAAGCTCGGTCAACCGGGAGGGACTCATAGTATAGCCGCTGCTTCTCCACATTTAGGGGAGCCATTTGAGGTGGCTCAGACATCTGGTTAGGATGCTTTCTGGATTCCTTCTTGGTGAGGTGTTCCAGACATGTCCCACTAGGAGGAAACCCAGGGGAAGTCTCAGGACACGCTGGAGGGACTATATTTCTTGACTTGCCTGGGAACGCCTTGGGATTCCCCCGGAGGAGCTGGCCCAAGTGGCTGGGCAGAGGGAAGTCTGGGCCTCCCTCCTTAAGCTGCTTACCCCGTGACCTGACCCCGGATAAGCAGAAGAATATGGATGGCTGGATGGTTGGATGGATGGATCTTAACTGACCGGGTTTTGTGTTTTCTTATTCAAGTGAGGGGGATGGCAACCTTGTCAAGAATTCACTCAAATTCTTAATCAAGGTTGGTTCGCATTTATTACATAACTTTTGAATGGTTAGGGTAAACATCTGTTAAAAGGTGTATTGTTGGTTCTGACTACCTATTCCTTTACACCAGGAATTATGAATTTAATTCTTGTTTAGTAAAGCTTTATGAGCACATGTAATTTAAAAACATTTTTGTATTTTTTCTTCTTTTTTTCAGCCAAAGAGAACACAAAATGAGCTATTAGCTTGATGTATTGGCAAAGAGAAAGAGAGGCTTACCATCACACGTGAAGTCTGGGGTGGCCACATCCTGGATGGGAATCTCCTTTAGGAAGGCTGGCTTCTGACAGCGAGGGTTTCCACTCACCACCCGTGTCTTCTTCAGCCACCGGCCCAACCAGGCCATTTGACAGTCACAAAAATATGGGTTGGAGAGCAGATTACTGTGGGACAAACAAGAGTTGACACAAAAAAGACAGCATGCCAAATTAGCTTTAGTGACATGAAAACATAACCTTTACAGTTATACATTTTGGGGTCCAAAGCAGCATAGTGATGGATCCTGGAGAGTGCAGGGGGCAATTTTATTCACCTCCATTTTTTTCATTTACCCTTTATTTATCCATGTATTCTCATTGAGCCACAAGAACTCATTTTCAAGAGAGACCTGTTTAGGGAGCAGATAGGGGTTAAGGGCCTTGCTCATGGGCCCAGAGTGGGGCGAATGAGGGTGGGGGCAGGTGTGGGTGCTTCACCTACCCCACCCACATTTTTGATGTTGTCGGTACCGGGGCTTGAACCGGCAATCTTCCGATCACAGGCCCACCTTCTCTAACCTCTGCGCCACCACTCCCTGCACCTCCAGGTGCAAAGGTGGAGCCAGGGGGTGGCCAGTGGTGGCCTTGGCCCTCAGATAAATATTTAGCCACCTCAATCATTAGAGGAAGCTATTCTTTTAAACAATAAAACAACTAGGAAGCATAGTTTCCTCAATGGTCATTTTACATATATATTTTTTTCAATTCAACCTTTATTCAAACAGATAAGTCACACTGAGCATTGAAAACTCATTTACAAGTGAGACCTGTTTGGAAAGACAATAAACAATGGTGAAGCATGACACTAAGAGTCAGAGTCAGAGAGTCAGAGTCAGAGATTCTTTATTGTCATTCGCACCTCATGTGGTACATGTGGTGGAGCGAAATTATGTACACAGGGTCCCAGTTACATCCAACAATAAAATGTATAAGAAAAACAGTAATAACATCTAAGATATGGAGACAAAAAAAATCTCAACACTCTTTTAATCTTTGGTTGAAGGTCAACAGCATGATAATGAAAAAAAGTCTTGCACATAAGCATATGATGATGCCGACAGTCTGTGGGGGGGTGGGGGTGCACAAGGACGGTGAGCATGTGAGCATCAACTTCCGATTCCGGTAAGCTGATGGACAGTAGCTCCCCCGGCTTTTCTGTAGTCTTTTAACATCAAACTGACCCTTTTTTCAAGCCGGACTAAAAGTTGATCCCCGTTCCAACCGAATTCGGTGTTCAGTGACTCAGAGAGCAGGACGGGACCGTCCAAAAATTATTTAGGTCCAGGATCGGCCGCTCCCACCCCACCGGTCACTCTGAGCGCAGCCTGCTGGCCAGGTGATCCCTTGAGTGGGGGAGTCATCGTATGAAGGTCCGGTGTTTTTTTCTGTCTTCAGACCCCAACCAAACTTTTCATCTGGACCTTTGTGGTTCTACTTGGGTCCGACAAGGATTGCTGGGTGAAATTTTGCTGGATTTCTGTTGGACTGGCTCCTCGTGGTGTCAACATCAAGTGTGGGGGAAGTGTCCCTGTGTCACAGAAAAGGACCAGAACCAAACTGAGCTGGGCTGTGGGGGATTTTGTCCTGAATAGAGCCTGTCTCAGCCTCAGTGAGCAGCCCGTTACCTTCAAACGAAGGACTGTCCACCTCTATGGGACTTGCTATGTTCACCTGGAGGGAACGTTTTTGTGCTGTAAAGCGCCAGAACTGGATCAGAACAGAACTGGGCCAAGGATGACTTCAGCCTATCCGGTCAGTCTCATCATTGTCTGCCAGAGGTATCCTCTCATGCTGTGAAGTGCGGAGGAGCAGAGTAAAGTTCAGAGTGTGCACAGAGGAGCAGTGCTGTGGAGTAAAGCAGAAGAAGCTGCTCGAGAGAAGACCAGAGTCTGCATCGGAGTTCTGCTGACTTCCATCCAAACTCACTTGGATACTAATTTAGATCCGTGTGGGTCCACCGGTTCAGAAAGGGTCAGCTGAAGGTTTTGTTCCTGGATCACGCTGTTGTCCTCTGTTGATCTGAACTAAATCAGGACCATGCCTTGCTATTTGCAGTGGATTATCAGCTTCTACCTGTTGGTATTGGACCAAGCATCTGTTCATCATGAGAGCAGCTTGAGAGTTTCATCTTCACAGGGGTGCTCCCCTCTGTCCAATTCAAACTCCAGTTGGACCACAATGTTGGACCCATTGGCCAATTTGATCTATGAAGCTGTCTGGTCTGAGACTTTTCTGCATCAGTCCTAAAATCCCCATCATTTTCAAATTTGTGACTATCTGGAGTCATTGAACCTTGATAACACATCTGGATCTATATCTCCCTGCAATATTCATTGTTTCTGGGTAATCATGTATTTTTTTTAACTTTTCTTATGGTTCGATTATGGGGGCTAATAGTCACACTATTAACTCCTGGAATTACACATCTACAAAAAAAAAAAAAACAAAAAAAAAAAACACAAGAAAATATCTGATAATAATCCTGATAAATGCTCAATAATCCAGATAGAAAAATCTAAAAAAGTTAAATCTGGTCCTCTGGACATTCAAAAAAAAAAAAAAAAGGCAAACCAACAACAACAAAAAAAATGTAGAAACGTTTCATCTTTCATCTGAAAGACTTCTTCAGTCTGAGGTGCTGTATTCAGCTCAGTCTTATAAATAGCACCTTC